GACCGTTGTTTCACTGCCGAAAAAGTAAAGGAAGAGACGGAACAACAACCTTCCGGAGACTGCAACATCAATAGATGGCAGCGTTGGCAAGCGCTTGTGTGAGGGTTATGAGATATCCACAACTCTAGTTTGAACAAGTATAAAGACAGTGTTATCCGTCATAACTTCTGGCGAGAAATAGCGCAGATACTGAACGAAGATGATTATCAGATGGAGTACAGTTTGAAAGGCTGCGCGTTCTGCTGTACGCATGCGCTGACAGCATGCCAGCAGCTCTTCTACCGACAAAAACACACAATTATGCAAAAACTATAAAATATAATTTATAGTTTATGTGAAGATTGTTTTAAGTTCACTTAAATTAAAAGTTATATTTTTTCAGAGCCTATACTAAATGTTAAAAATAATGTCTTTCAATTATACTGTAATGTTGAATGGCTATAATTAATGGCTAAGAGACTAATAGAAACTTTAATAGAGGCTAATAGAGACATCAGTAGCAGTATTGGAATCAAAAATACTGGCCTTTGTTAATAATAGGCTACTTTGTAAAGAGAAGCAACATATTTAAAATATACCACCTTTAGGTTGTTTCTACATTAATTTGGAGGTTCAATGTGAAATTCAGACAATATATTTATGCAATTAATCATGATTAATTACAGAAAAATTTGCGATTAATTAGTTATTTTTTTTAATCGACTTACAGACAATACTAATGTTTTTATAGATTTTGGTGTTGGTAATATTAGTTGATTTTACTGCTGAATATGCATTTAAATTTAATTTCAAATTTTATAGGCCCCCAGAAAGAGATCGGGATGGGCCCCTCCCCCTTGGCCCCCTTCAAATTTTCAATTCAATAATCCGGCCCTCAAATGAAACTAATTGAATAGCCCTGGTCTAGCGAGTTTCACACTCTGGAGCAGAGCGGCAGTCCACCTGTCACGCAAGTGGCCACGCCCTTAATTATGCACAACTTTAAGGCTTAATATAATTTCAACAGATAAGTTATAAAAAAATTCACCCCCCTCACAGTTGTCAGGAAGGGCAAAATTACCCATATAGAACAAAACCACTTTTTGTACCAGGCTGTAAACATAGTTTTTTCTGCTGTAAAGTTGGGTATTTTAACATGGCAGGTCTATGGGACAGACTCCCTTTTGGTGCCAGCCTCTAGCGGTCAGTCGATAAACTGCAGTTTTTGTCATTTCCGTGTTGGTGTCAGGCGAGAGACCGGGAGGTTGCTGCTTGGCTCTTTTTCAATCCGCAGAGCGAGAAATAGAGGAAGGTGTGTGTTTATCGATAGATTGCATCTGTGCAGTTCTTTGTCATAAATCCAGTTTACAAAATATCATGGGGAAGCAATAATCGGTTCCCCACCTACTGTAGCCTAAGTTTTCGCTGCGTTCACCCCTCATCACACCACAGCTGTCCTCCAGCGAAAATGAAGCACATATGAACGCACACTTTATAAAAATATGCAATACAGTGGAATACTGCAATAAGTTTAGTATACGACCCCTATTAATAAAAAAAAAATATATATTTTTTTTATTTTTAGGCTATTATTATTATACCCTCACTGGGGGCTGAGCCCCCCTAAAATGAAAATCCTAGAATCGCCCCTGCTTCTGTGTAATACTAAAGGAGATGTTATGTAGAATGTTAGCCTATTGAATAGTAATATGAATAGTAATATGAATAGTAAGTCACTATTCATTATCACATACTATATCATTTTCACTGTATGGAAGATATATCTAGTAAAAATTTGTAAAAAATGATATTCTGGCTACATTTTTGCAGAGGATTTGTAAATTATGACAAGTTTCAGTTAATGGTGAAGTATAGCATAATGCCAAATAAGTTTGCATTACATTTGTGTGTTTGTTTATAAATTACTTATTCTTGCACTGTTGTTACCTGACTGTGTTTTAGGGTCTAGGGGACTGGCAGCTCCACTTAAATCCATACAGGACTGGAAGGTGGTGATCATGTCAGGTTCTAAAACACCTCCTTCCATTCAATGAAGATGAGCTGTTTTGACCTGCATGGGGCTTCTCAGTCTCCCCACCAGCCGCCAGACCAACATCATTAGTTTATCAGCAATTGTATGTTTGCTGTTCTCATACTTTAAACAGTTTGATCTTCTTTTTTTCTGAAGGTTGATTGGGGATACATGTTTCCCCCTTATTTTTTCCTTTTTAATGCAGCTCTACAGGGTTGTAATAAGGATGAAATAATAATTAATGATTAAATAATTCTCATCTGCTCACTCAGGCTGCATTTAATTTAATCAAAAATACAATAAATAAAAAAATATAACTATTTTAATTTATACTGAAATGTAATTTATTCCTGTGATGGCCAAGCTAAAAGCAAATATTTTCAGCATCATTAACCCAGACATGATCCTTACTGTGACATGATCCTTCAGAAATCAATCTAGCATGGTGATTTGGTGCTCAAGAAACATTTCTTAGTATTATCAATGTTGAAAACAGTTGTCCTGCTTATTTTTATTGTGCACACTGCAATACATTTTTTTTTAGGATTCTTTGATATTCAGGCTTCAGTTCATAAACAGTTAGGTTGTATATTGTTTTGATATCTTCTTACCGATGGGTGGTGTCTATGAACCAAAAAACACACCTTAAAAGTTGTTGTTGAATAACTTAACTTCCTTCTGTTGGTCGTTCCTGTTTTGATGTTATGAAGAAAAGCAATCAAGATTGTAAATTAAAGTAATATATTTTCCTTAATTTTTATGAACATAGTAAAGGTGACAGTAGTGGCTGAGAATGAGTGAACATGGCTGGATGCATGGATGTTTGGGTGATTACCTCTAAGCAGTTCAATAAAGACAGGTTATTTGCCTGTATTTATTATGACTTATATACAACTATATATGTAGGAACAACATACCACAAATTTCAAACATTCAAGCAATAGCTGTACATGTTCCAATAGTTTAAATGCAAAACATACATTTGCTGAATTGTAGTGTTACATTTAAATATACTATTATACATTTAACATTTTTGACATTAAAGTGCAACTGAAAAAAATGGTGTACATCTAACACCCAAATTACCACCTGCTATGAACCTATGTCCTCAGTTCAAGTAATCATTCGATAAACTATTCAATCGGGCTACAATCACCATTAATTAAACTCAAGAGGGTCCTGCCCTCTAACAACAATTATAAAATTGGAATTTAAAAACTTTAATAAAAATGTGCTGACACCAATACATAGAATTAAAACAAAAACAGGCCTTAAAGGGATAGTTCACCCCAAAATGAAAATTCTGTCATTAATTACACACCCTCATGTTGTTCCAAACCCCGCAATACCTCGTTCATCTTCGGAACACAAATTAAGATATTTTTGAAATAATCTGAGAGCTCTCTGACCCTCCCCATAGACAGCAAGGATCCTTACATGATCAAGGTCCAGAAACATAGCAAGGACATTGGTAAAATAATCCATGTGACATCAGGGGTTCAACCGTGATTTTACAAAGCTACGAGAATACTTTTTGTGTGCAAAAGAAAAAAAATAACGACTTTATTTAACAATTCATCTCCTCTGCGTCACCCTAGCGCCATTTTGGAGAGTATCCACTGAATGTAAATTGCGTACGCTGTATTGTGTCAGCTGCGCCATGTGGACACGTTTTCGTTCAAATCAAAGTGTAAACGACGTAAACAGCGAGGAAACAAATTGTTGAATAAAGTCGTTTTTTTTTTCTTCTTTTGAGCACAAAAAGTATTCTCGTAGCTTTGTTAAATCACGGTTGAACCCCTGATGTCACATGGATTATTTTACCGATCTCCTTGCTACGTTTCTGGACCTTGATCATGTAAGAACCCTTGCGGTCTATGGGAGGGTCAGAGAGCTCTCAAATTCCTTCAAAAATATCTTAATTTGTGTTCCGAAGATGAACGGAGGTCTTACGGGTTTGGAACGACATGAGGGTGAGTAAATAATGACAGAATTTTCATTTTTGGGTGAACTAACCCTTTAAGTAGCATCCTGGGAAGGCTGTCATAAATGGAATAATTTGAGGGAGAGATTTAAAAAAAGATCTGCAACAAATCTAAGGCTTTGTTCACGTCATTTTTCAGTTCTTTTGCTTAGACACTAATTGCTAGAGTAATGATGTACGAGTCATCACATTGCCAAGAGTCTTCCAAAAAATAAGATCAGAATCAGATTATTTTTGTAAAATTTGGTTTTCATGTTAAGGGGGTCATATGATGTTGCTAAAAAGAACATTATTTTGAGTCACATATTTGAATCGATTTTCAACCGGCTCGCAGTTAATCGTTACATCCCTACTGATTTCTAGTCGTGTCCATTTTTGGAAGGACAAGCAAAGTAGTTTCGCTTTCACAACGAAACACAGCGTCACACGTGCCGGCGGCCTAGAGTGAGCGGAGGCCGGGGGCTAGAGTGAGGAACAGCCGGCGGGCTAAGTGAGAGGAGGCTGGTGAGCTTGAGAATGGCGCGGCTGGCGGATTTGACGAAGGAGTCGCCGGCGGGCTTGCGGCAACCACATGTGACGACCCCGGGCTGGACTCCGCTTCGTCCACGGTGAAAGCCAATCCGGCGATCCACAGCGCGAAGATAATCAGCACGGATCAGCTCTAGGCATGACAAAGCGGATATCGTCCTCTTTTGGAAGGCCAAACAAAGTAGTTTCGCTTTCACAACGAAACACAGTGTCTCCACGGCATGGCGTGTATGGCATGGCGGCAACAACAATAGTACAGTGAGAATAAAAGTTACGCCTTCTTTCTTTGCGTGAATATTTGGGCGGCGTTATGCAAATCTTCTCACATCGTGACGTAGACATGTGGGGTGTGTTAGAACGAGCCGTTTTAGGTAGGCGTTGTTGACTCGTAACTTTTATAAAGAATATCTCTTTGGATTTGAGACTTTAGTCTTTGCAACTTTACAGATCTTCTTTATGCACCAAGAGCTTGTAACACTTCAAAGAGAAAGGAAAAATTGAAATCGCATCATATGACCCCTTTAATAAAAGAAAAACCACATATTTTCTGCCTGTCTGAACATTGCCTTGATATGGAGTACCCAGACTTAATGTAAGGTTTCTGTTGCTGAAAGCAACATTCCAAAACAGAGGGTGAATTCTCAAATAGGATGTCTGTATTTTCAAAATGTCCCTATTTTTCCATTCAGATTCAGGCAAAGGAAGTCCAACTCAGAGCTGATGCGTTCGAGCTTGACTGTCTCGGCACAAGGAGCGGATTTCATAGTAAAGGAGTGGAATGATGAAGAGTACACTGCACCCTGTCTGTGGATGAGAGAAAAACAAATGTTAAAATGTTTGCTCAGCTCAGCTCAACTTGCGGAACATTTTTATGATGTTATTTATTCTGTGTTCAAATATCTTATACCAGACCCATAAAAAGGTTTGGCAAAGTTTTCTTTCTTGTGCTGATGTATTTTCTGTTGAAATAGGAAGTTTGGGTGGTTTGTGGATTGTGCCCTTTGTTTTAGTTTTAGTTATATTACATTACATGATTTGCTGCATGCTAGTCAGTGGTAAAAAGTATTGAAGGGAGCAGGCCCATTTCTAGGCATAGGCAAGCTAGACTAGAGAGCGCCACCAGCAGGTGGGGGTGCCAATGAGCGCAAGTACTTGCACTACATTTTAGCAGGGTTGTGATTAAGAGTGGCTTTAATGTTTCACTGACTGAATGTGTGAACTTGTGCTGTCGCATCACAATTAACCTACCATGATTATGAAAAAATAGAAGACGCACATCCATCCTAATTTGCTCTCAATAAGTGATACCAGATACTACAAAACAAAGACATTTTTAAATTAGTACTTACACATGATGATTAGCAGCACAGAAATAACAACAATAATAATATAATTAAATAAAAAATAAACATCCACAATGAACATGATTTGCATATAACTACCGCAGTGCAATAATTCAGAGTGAAAAAGATACAAATACAAATAAACAGATACAATAGATACAAGTAAACATACAAATGTGGTTAAATTTTTATAACCAAAGAAAACAATTTAAAGCATCTCTTTGGAAGAGAGCTTCTTGGCATCTTAACACATTACCTGTCCCCCTGCAGCTCCAATGCTGCCTGTGCCGTCCACTATTCCTGTGACTGTGGCCAAAGCCTCCTGACTATTCTGCAGTGCTTCCTGTCGACCCAAATCTGCAGAAATCGCTGAACTGATTATGTTTGATGGGCCTCCGATAAGGAAACCTGAAACAAATTATAAACATATTCAAATGTTAAGGTTTCCAATACAAGAACGAGGAATAATTGTGAATTGAGTTTATAGTTATAAATTATTTTATCATATTATAATGTGTCACCTGTTGTTGCTAGAAGAGCTCCATTTACCAGCTGGTTATTTGGAGAGTCTGAGCAATTAAAAAAAAAAAAAGTTAAAAAACAGAAGTTAAACATTTATTCTGCTTTAATTTCTCAAATTATGATATAAAAAAGAAGAGTTAGAAAGGGTACTTAGATTTTCTAGACAGTATGATTTAGTCTCTAAACTCACGGCTGTATCCCACTAACGCTCCCATGGCCAGCAGCAAACTGATCGCTAACACAGGAGCTCGCTTTCCCAAAACATCTGAGATCAAGCCTTGTACTGTTCCTCCTGGAAGAGACTGCATTCAGCACATGAGCAAAATCTTTACACTGTGATTGCAAACTACTTCAGGAAGAAATGTAGTGTCCAAAGGCCTCAGTATACTCACAGCAAAAATCTTTTTTTTTTTTTTGCTGCTAACAATTGTTCAGAAGCTGCCCACACCTTTGTAGACAGTGTTTTAGAGGAGCATTTAAATGTGCGATGGATTGGGTAAAGAAAAGAATTGAAAAAGAGCCCCAAGTAACTATCTGTTACACAAATTATTTATTTATTTTTTTGCATCAAATCTATTTGTTTTTCGATTCATTTTGAATATTGGGGACTTGCGCTTTGTGAGTGTTAAAGGAGGCAAAAGCAAAATGTCTGTTTCAGGAAAAATGTCATATTTAAACATTTTTATTAAGTTCTATATTTTGTAATGTATTTAAAAAGTGTAATATTAAAGAGTTTAATCAACTGAAGGGTTCCATCCAAGTATTTAATCTGTTTTGTAGGGTTTTAGAATGCATTTTTGTTTTCCAACAAAATTTCACATAGGCTGATTTATAGACTTCATATAACTCTATAGAAATGAATGTAAGTTGAGCAGGAGATACAGAGTAATCAATATCATTCACAACATCCTGACTCGCATGCAATGCAATCAGATTGGTTTGTGCATTTAGTACAGGTTGACTTGTGTGTCATTTTGTGTAGATGTAAGTTTAACACGATGCATTAAGAGCTAGGGGTGTAAACTTTGAACAGAATGAAGATGCGTACATTTTTCTTATTTTGCCTAAATATCATATTTTTTTCATTTAGTACTGCCCTTCAGAAGCTACGTACATGTTTCCCAGAAGACAAAATAAGTTCAATTTACCCTGATCATCCAATTCAAAAAGTTTTCACCTCCAGGCTCTTAATGCATTGTTTTAAGGACTTAAAGGATTTTTAGGCTGCATTTAGGCTGCATTAATTAGGACAACCGGAACCGGGAACACTTCCCATAACACCCGATGTACTTGCTACATCGTTAGAAGAATGGCATCTACGCTAATATTAGTCTGTTTCTTTCTTATTCCGAGGTCACCGTAGCCACCAGATCCAGTCTTTATCCAGATCAGATGGTCACCATAGTTGCCTTTGCTATGATAAACACCGGTTGCGCTGCTGTTTTCATGTGGGTGTGTACTTTGTAGTGCTGCTTGCACTATTCTGCATAAATACGCTGGTATTGCCACCATTCATATACTTTTAATGACAACATTACAGCCCCTCGTGCAATGCAGCTTGCAGTCACTGAACGTGTATGGGTTGATAAGGTAAATCTCCGGACAAGTTTTCTTGCGCACACCCGTTTTTAACGCATCTTGACTGTCGTACAGTCTGACATTAATGACAACTGAGATCCCACAGTGTGACATGATCAT